TTTTTTTTTTTTTTTCTTATAGAGACTGGGTCTCTTTATGCCGCTCAGGTTGGCCTTGAGCTCGCAGTGTAGCCCAGGCCGGTCTCGAACTCGCAAGGATCCTCTTTCCTCAGCCTCCTGAGTGCTGGGATTACAGGTGTGCCGCTTCCTGCTGCCAGAAGTCTGTATTTCATATGCAAAAACCATAATTAGCAGGCCGGAACATGCACCTCGGCTCGCTGAGCTGCACTTCCGGTCTTGCAGTCTGGTTGAACCTCGCCGCCCACGTTCCGGGCTGTCTTCTAGTAGCTTCTGTGATGGGCGGTCGTTGCTTTTTCCAGACTGAAAATTAAAAGTTGAAAGCTTAGTTGGGGTAAGTGTAGATTCACATGCGGTTGTAAGAATAAATGTAGTTAATCTCTAGAGGTGTGCTTAGCTCTGTTGTCCCAACGGTAACTTTTTTTTTTTTTTTTTTTTTTTTTTTTTTTTTTAATTTTGGGGTTTTTTACTTGATTTTTATCAGTTACTGCGGAAAACTCATTTTCACGTGGAAGTAACTTGTGGGAGAGGGCAGTAGTGCCATCTTGTGTTGATCTTGTGCATTGCACCGAGCTGGTAGGTCATGTGGAGTCTGACCGAAATCACTGTAGTCCTGGAGTATTTACAATGTCAGCCGGGTAGGGAGTGCACATCGGTAATCCCAACCCTCTGGAAGCTGAGGCAGGGCAGTCACCACAAATTCGAGACCCTCTCTGGCTTCATAGAGAGTTCATAAAATTCATGGCTTTGAATTTGGGGCAATCCTCCTGCCTCAGCCTCCAGAGGGCTGGGATTTAGCTCTCTTTTTAAGCCCACAGTTCATTGGGGAACACAGAGCACCCCACCTATAAGTAAAAATGAGCACATCAGTGACAGGCGGATGGGGGAGCTTGTTTCAGACACAGGTCGATGGGGAGACTCTGCTGCCATCCGGCTCGCGGGCTGCACACAGACTCCATGTCCCTGTTTCCTGTACGGCCTCCCTGGGCCGTGACCATGTGGCCTCAGTCCTGCGCTCTACCTCGTGGCTTTCCCCAAATCCTGGGAGAGGAGCCGCAGGCCTGGCCAGGTCTGGTGGTGCTGCAGGCAGCGAGCTGTCTTGTGCCTGCCTGAGCCCCGAGCCCTAAGCCACCTACACGGAGGACTGGGCTGCTGGAGAGATTAGGGGGCTGCTGGAGCCACAGGGACGACAGAGGTCCGCCACGCTGCCACCCTGTCCAGCAGCCACTCAGCCCTTTCCTGGCACCAACTGGGCTGGCGTTTTTCTTTCAGATCCAGGAATGGGAGGCCCGGATCTTCACGCAAAGTAAGAACGCCCTGGCTCCGGGCTTCGTCGTGGACCAGAAGGTCAAGATCCGACGCAGGATCAAGATCCTGGAGGACCAGCTGGACAGGGTGAGGGCGCCTGGGCTCGGATCCGGCGGGAGCCTGGGGCCGGGGAGCCAAGCTGAAGGGTTCACTCCGGAAACAGTGGAGGAGTAGCTAGAGGAGAGCGGCAGACCGGGCTGCACAGAGTTTATGTCCCCGTTCCCAGGTCACCTGTCGCTTCGACGTCCAGCTGGCGCGCAACGCGAGCCTTCGGGAGGAGCTGGACTTGCTGCGCATCGAGAGGAGCCGCTTCCTGAGTGTGGACCACAAGCTGAGGAAGGTCCGCGGGCTCAGGCCCCAGCGTGGGAGCCCTTGGCTGGCTTTGGTTTGGGAATGGGGGCGGGGAACAGTGGGAGGAGATGCTGCCACAGGCAGAGCGCCTGGGGGCACACAGGTGGCACAGAATAAGGTCACCCAGGACACGGGGAAGCCTGTGAGGCCACTCACCTTCCAGGCTTCATTTAATGACCTTCTGAGTCCTTCCAAGAACCTGCCTACCACCTTCCCCCCTTTAAAAAAATCTCAAACCTACAGAAAAGAAGCAAGAATTATACAAAATACTATATATCCTTCATCAAGATCGATAATTTGCTATATTCTCTTTCTTTCTTTATTGAGACAGGGCCTCGTTATGTAGCTCAGGCTGGCCATGAGCTCGCAGCCATTCTCCTGCCTCAGCCTCCTGAGTGCTGGGACGACAGGCGTGTGCCACCATGCCCAGCTTCTCTTGTTCTCTCTCTCTGTTTAATTACTATGTTTGCTGAAAATGATTTATCATAATTGCCAAAGTACTATTTGATAGCATGTTGGAGACATTTTGCCTTAAAGATTTCAATGTGTCTTCTTTCTTTCTTTCTTTCTTTCTTTCTTTCTTTCTTTCTTTCTTTCTTTCTTTCTTTCTTTCTTTCTTTCGACAGGGTCTCACTATGCAGTTCAGGCTGTCCTTGAATTTGCTATGTAACTTAGGCTGGCCTAGAACTTGTGGTGATCCTGCCTTAGCCTCCTGAGATGACAGCAGTGCACCACCGTGCCCAGCTTCAATGTCTGCCTGCCTGCCTCTCTCTCAGCGTCTGTCTGCCTGTCTGTCTGCCTGCCTGCTTCTCTCTCAGTGTGTGTGTGTGTCTGTCTGTCTGTCCGTCCGTCCGTCCGTCCGTCCGTCCGTCCGTCCGTCTGTCTGTCTGTCTGTCTGTCTTTTTGAGACAGGGCTTTGCTATGCAGTTCAGGCTGGTCTTGAACTCTTTTTGTAGCCTAGGATGGTCTTGAACTCACAATGATCCTCTTGCCTCAGCCTCCTGAGTGCTGGGATTACAGGCATGTGCCAAAATGCCCTGCTTCCATGTATATATATTTTTTTTCCTAATTTTTTTGTGGTACTGGGGATTGAACTCAGGACCTTGAGCTTGCCAGGCAAGTGCTTATTCTACTGAGCTATCTCCTAGGCCCTGTATATTTGTTAAGAAGGATGCTATTTGCTTTTTATTTTCTTCCTTTTTTTTTTTTGTGTGTGTGTGTGTTGTGAGATGCAACACAGGGTCCCTTGCTTACTAGGCAAGTGCTGTACCAGTACTCTATCCCCAGGCCCCACGGTGCCATTTTCTTTCATAAACACTGCAGTCACCCCAGCCAGGAACTTGAACGTGGCTGGAATTCTGAACAGTTCACATCTCTAGTTCCCGGATCATCCCAAGGTGTCCTTTGAGGCTGATTTGATTTTCGTGCCTCAGCGCAGGCTGCAGTCCAGCATTCCAGGTTGCATCGGATTGTCCTGGTGCTGGCCACCTGGCACAGAGCCTCGGTTCTCTGTCTTTGTGACCTTGACACTTGGGAAGCGTCCAGGCTTCTGTGCTGCACGAAGCCCTTCTTCTGGGTCTGCCCATCTTGAGGTCAGATGCAAAGCCTGCCTCTCAGCCACGCTCCACAGCTGTGAGCTGACATCTCCATGCGCCTTACACGGTAGACTCTAGTGGCTAGTCTGTCCCATGGCCAGCAGAGTTGGCTCTGATCACCAGGTTCTCTTTCCACTCGATGAAGACCGCAGCATTTGTGGGAGCCTGGGGCTACATACCTGTCCTGTCCCTGGTGCACTTTCACCGGGTCCTGTTAGCTTCTTTTTTGTTTTTATCTTTTTAAAAATTTTAATATTTATTTATTTATTTGCTATAGGGTCTTGCTACACAGCTCGGACTTGTGGTGATCCTCCGTCTCAGCCTCCCCAGCACTGGTATTATGCTGTGTGCCACCATACCTGGTTTTGGTGGCTGGCATGCATGCAGGACCAGGGATCGAACCTGGGTCCTTGCACTTGCCAGGCTGGCTTGTAGACTGCCGAGCTATCTCCTCATCCCCATCATGTTTTTTTTTTTAAATGTATTTAGTACAGGGTCTATAGGGTCTCACTACACAGATCGGACTTGTAGTGATCCTCCAGTTTTCAGCCTCCCAAGAGCTGGGATTATAGGTGCACACCACCACGCCCAGTCTCAGTTACCATCTCAGCGTGCCCCAGGGGTGGGGCTGGCGTGGCATGCTGAGGATTGAACCCTGGTCCCTGCATCTTTTTTTTTTTTTAGGATTGAACCCTGGTCCCTGCATCTTTTTTTTTTTTTTTCCCTGCATCTTTTTTGTAATTAAAAAAATTATTTATTTGGTACAGGGTTTCGCTATGCAGCGCAGACCCATAGTGATCCTCTTGTCTCAGCCTCCTCAGCACTGGGATTACAGGTGTACGCCACCAGCACAACATGCCTGGGGTTCTGGGCCAGTGTGGCATGTAGTACCGGGGATCCAACCCAGGTCCTTGCGCTTTCCAGGCAGGCGCTTAGACCACTGAACTATCCCCCCAGCTCCTGTTAAGTTCTATTAAGGATTTCTACTTGAATGAGTAGGACCAAAATGGCTGCAAAGGGGTGATTTTTCTACTTTTTTTTTTTTTGGTGGAACTGGGGATTGAACTCAGGCCCTTGCGCTTGTCGGGTAAGCGCTTATTCTACTGAGCCATCTCCCCAGCCCCTCTACTCTTTTTTTTTTGAGACAGTTTTGCTATGCAGTTCAGGCTGGTTTTGAGCTCACTTTGCAGCCCAGGCTGTCTTGAACTCATGATGATCCTCCTGCTTCAGCCTCCTGAGTGCTGGGATTCCAGGCATGTGCCACCAAGCCCTGATCTTTATCATTTCTTTGACTATTTTTTTATTTTGTGTTTTGAGACACAGTCTCCCTAGTGTAGATCAGGCTGGCTTTGACTTACTGTGTATCCAAGGCTGGCCTTGTACTTGTGGCCATTCTCCTGCCTCAGCCTCCTGAGTACTGAGATTAATTATAGATATGTACCACCATGCCAGGCTGACAGTTTATTTTAAAAAATCAACTCTCAGTTTTTTTTTTTTTTTTTTGGCGTAACCGGGGATTGAACTCAGACCTTTGCACTTGTCTGGGAAGCACTTATTCTACTGAACCATCTCCCCAGCCCCAACTTTTAGTTCTTAAAGACCATTTTACTCTTCCAGTTATAGAAACACAAATAATTCTGCGCTTGTGCTGACCCAGCCCTGTTTTTTCCTCATAGGGAATAGGTACTGGGAATCCAAGATGCAGGTACTAAAAGCTTTATTTCTGTGGGGCTGGCATTACTTTGAGGTCCTTGCCCCAGAAGCCTATGACATCTCTACATGTGTCTTTTTTTTTTTTTTAAATGTATTTAGTGTAGGGTCCACAGGGTCTCACTCAGAGATTGGACTCGTAGTGATCCTCCTATTTTCAGCCTCCCAAGCGCTGAGATTACAGGGGCGCACCACCACGCCCAGTCTCAGGCTTGTGGTGCAGGATCAAACCCTGGGCCCTGTACTCTGTTTCTGGCCAGCTCTTCTACATGTGTCTTAAACTTATGCTTTCCCATTGAGGCCTCAAGTTCCAATCCAAGCAGGTGGAGTGTGGTGGCACACCCTGTAATCCCCGTGTTCAGGAGGCTGAGGCAGAGGATGGTGGGTTCAAGGCCAGCCTGGGCAACACAGTGAAGCCCTGTTTGAAAAATTGAAAAAAAAAAAAAATTCAATCCAGCATTGTCAGGCCGTCCACCTCCCTGCCGCCCCCCAACACTCTCCCCTTCATCTTCCTGTCTCTTGGCCCTGGGGGAACCGGGCTCCCTGCAGCTTCACACCCTCACCCCCAAGCAGGGCGCCAGCTTTGCGTGTGTTCTGTTTTCTTCTCTGTGCTGCGAGCACTCAGTGGGCTTTCCAGAAGTTACCTGGCCCAGTGCCTGTGCGGTTATGTTCATCATGTGAAATAGTGAGGCCTGTTTACTTCCGTTTGCAAAATTTAGTTTTAGTTTGCTCTCCAATCTTGTTGACTTAATCTCCTTTATGAATATAT